CTGCCTCAGAGTCTTTCTTGGTTGGGAGTGCTACTTGGAACCCTGACAGGTTCTTTCTTAAGTGGACAGCGAGCAACATATTTTAATTTTGCTTCTAGGTCAGATATATTTCTGATATACTGCATATGAAATATCTTTAATTTGGTTTACTTTAAAGAATTATGCTGTAGCTAAACGGATATAATCTAAAAACATGAGTCTTGACTTAGTCATTTCTAGACGTTGCTCAAAATGTATGACACCTATCCTATTACTGGGTGAGTCTAAAAGGATGGCTTATGTTCTTCACAACATAATTGTTGGTGATCATTTTGTCTATGGTTTTATCATTTTGGGTAGTTCACAGGTCTGTCAGGTTCCGTAAAGTATGGGGAAAAAACCCTCAGCACGCAAAAGCAGGAACCAAGTTTGTTTATCCTGATATCGTTACTAACTGATCTGTCCCCGTACCCACACACACACAAACAAAGCCAGCCGAGGGTTAAGGAAACACTTTGGAATGCACCCAGGTCTTATCTCCCACTTGGCAGCGATAGACACACCGTCTGCCAAATGCCTTTATTTTCACAAACAGAAAGATAAGGTACTTAATGTGCAAAAAGTCCAAACAGAAACAATATTTCTCTCCGCAGTTCCGAACGAGGCTTTAGTGACTATCCAAGGTTTACTTTTGTTCGTCACAAGGATCACTGACCACTACCCTCTATTATATAGTCTCTGGGGTGTGGTCCAGTGACACAGTTCTAATCCCTAGCACGCCTCCTAAGCTGCTGCAAACGTTTATCACGCCTTCGGAGGCGGGCGTCCAGGAATGATGTTTCTTCGTCACTCTGATCTGAGCCAGCTGTCTCCCTACTGATCTCCTCTCCCTCGGCCGGCACCTGAGACAATGCCAGAGGGGAGGGGCCTGGAGAGGGAGGCCTGGCTGACTCCTCTTCCTCATGCTCAGAGCTTTCTTCCTCCGATGGGACAGGCTCAGAGGGCGGGGCCACAACACTAACTGACCACCTTAAAGTGTTACAGAAAAGAATCTTTGTTGGAGCTGACGCTCCGTGCTCCCCATCACCCTTTAAGCAGCATACAGCTCCACCCCAGTGCAATCACTCAATTATCCGATTAACCCGTATCCTCCCTCTCCCTCCCCAATCCATCGCAAGCCACTTCAGTTGTTCCGGCTGCTCCATCTTTCCTTAAAGAGATAAGGTTGATAAACTGCTTCAGTGCATGCCCCTGAAGTCATCTAGCATGCGGCTGGGGAGTCGAAGTGAGAGGCATGCCTCGGGGCTGACGACCCAGCAGAACAGGCACACAGGGTCGTCGGCAAAAGCGTGCAGCAGCGGAACGGCGATCCCCACACGAATGGCAGCCCCAAGTACCATCGCAGGGCTGGAGCTGACATCTCTTCTTTGATAAACTATGGATCAGTTGGCCCCATCTAAACTTAAAAAGGATTCTCCACTACTAGTTTTAAGCAGTAATCTTGCTTTGGGGCATCTAGACAACTAAAATTGTCACAAACCCATACTCCTTAATTATCATAAAAGCACCTGGTAAACTGACCTCATGCTCAGAGGAATGAATAAATAAAATGCACTTTTAATTTCCTACAAAAGATACTCCAAGATAATCCTATTTATACCATGACATAACTGGTAGAAAATGCAGTGTGCCTTTAGAAGTTACTAAAATGGTACATTTAGCTAACAGATATTCTGATTAAGTAATATTTCTGGCAGAACTGCAGGGATTCCTGCTAAATAAGCTGACTTTTAACGATCCTCCATATTCTGCAAAACCAAGAGGAAAGAACAAGGAGATTGTATCTAAGTTAAAACAGAAAACCCAGTTAATCTCTCTCTAAGCATTCTCTCTGTAATGAATCTTGAATATGTTCTGAGAACCCAAAATCTCATTCAAATAAGTATAGGTACTTGTTTAGGTAGGATAACTGTATTAGTTTTTAAAATTCTACACATCTCAACCTAAATATCTGCAAGAAAGAAGCAATGGTGAAATATGGTAAAAACCATACTTGAATTCAATACAGGGTTAAGTATGAAAGACTGAGGTTCTATTGAAACAACTTGTGTTTTATCATTTTTCTGTCGTCATGATTTTTATTGAATATCTATGTCTGCTGATTTCTCTCCCCTCCTCCCCTCTAATATTTTACTTTTCCAATGAAGTCTTTATATTTATTGAATTGGTTCACTTTGGTTTAACAAAGCAATATCTCATAAAAACATTTTTGCATAGAAAACTGCATGACAGACTAACTCTCAGGTTGAGTCAGACTTCAGGTTTGTTAAGTGATGTACAACTAAGGTTGGGGCAGGGAAATCCAAAGCACTTTCTTTTCAATTGTTGTGGCCAAGACCTGGCCCACTTACAGCAACCAAGCCATTTTGAAGATATAACATAATTTTATTAGCATGCAAAGAATAAAACAGGGTACACTGGGCTCCCAACAAAACATTGGCAACTTGGTTGACCTTTTACCTGTAACACCACATTATGTTCCTAAAGCTGGTCTGAAAGGAAAAATCCTGAGTAGAATAGCTAAAATCCCCCTAATTGAACAGACTACCAAGGTTCTGCTTGATGGGTGCAGCCTATTTTAATTACATTTTGCTAAGTTATTGTTATTACTATTATTACTCTAGTTTTCAATTACCACTTTCAGAATTTGTAAGATATATTCATGAAACTTTTGCAAGGCTGTGTTGGATTTTTCCAAGGATTCTCCTTCGGGTTCGAATTTCCCGGCTGGGAGAGCGTCGCTTATTTAGTGGAGCGTTATCCGCGTAGCGAAAGAAATTGAGATGGAAGCGAGCAGTGTGAAAGCGAGGTTTCTTTATTTTGCAGGAAGTCCAATCTAGCATCTGGCACTACCTTGGTGGTGTTCCCATCCTATACCTGTGTTCTGTTCCCCAGGCCTCTGGCTCCACTGGGAACAGGCAGATAAACTCTAGCAAACAGGTTTTCATGCAGATTATATTTATTTGGGAAGCCTTCAGAAACCATAGACTTACAATCATGGTGAGTCAAGGTTAGGTTCATCCAAGTATTTCACAATCTATCCCATTTCCTAGTGTAAAATGATGGTAGTTCTGTCCCCCTGTTCAGAAAGCATGCCTCTCTCTTCTGTGGTAATTGGACAGGTCTTTGTTCTGCACCCAGGCAGAAAGCCTCAGTGGCCAATCAGACATACAGATATGGTCACATGTCATGGACTACATTTCCCACAATGCAATCTCTCTCTCTACATCTCCCACAATGCAATATTTTAAGGAGACAGCTCTTAATCCTTAAGGTAACTAATTCACTATGACTCACTATCTGTAACAGCACAAGCTGTATTTCTAATCATAAGAAGTATTGATACAGAAATTGTGACAGCCTTGAGAAACAACATGATCCAGACTTAGGCAGGAAGTATACGTTTTTTTCTGGAGCAAATAAATCACTTAATAATAAAACAGAAATGCACAAAACTTTTGATAACTGTTTAGGGGATAAAGTATGTGTCGAAAATAGTGCCTTAATCTAATTCTTTTATCAATTACTCTCATTAGTTTTTTGAGGAATTCACTATGTGCTCTCAAACTGTTATTCTTAGAATCAGATGTGAACCATGCCAGTCCCATGTTTTAAACAAGAAGTCCTTACAGTTCATTATTATTTTAAAGCCATTGTGATCCTAACCTGTGTTTTCAACATAAGATTTAGTCTGAGTTCCTGGTAAATATGAAAATAGCAACACCATAATAATAGATGGCAAGTCTGGAGAAATGGGAAACAAAGCACAAACTGCCTAGTTTGACTTGACTCTGAAAGTATATGGAAGCCCTGCTCCCCCCCCCCCTTTTTTTTTTTTTTTTAAACAAAGGAGAGTGCAAAGGATTGGGAAAGGTTTAATCTTTCCTTATATTTTTCCAGTTTATTTTTATTTTCAAAGGCATTGTTCATGTGTATTGTTTCCTGACCATGGCTCCTTCATTTTTCTACCACTGAAAAATACCACTCCCTCAGAAGCAGTGTTCTTCAATGTGTCTGTTTTTCTTCTTGGTTGTTTTCTTTGAAACTAAGAATGATTTTAATGTATTAAATGTCTTCAATTCCTTCCCTCTCAATATGGTCACAATACTGTGGGACATCAGGGGAACACCAAAGAAAGCTGAATTAAACTTTCTGTCTTTTGCATAGCTTTCAAAAATGCTATGTCAATGAAGGTCATTTTTGTTTTCCTTTTCAAGACTATTTCCTTTAAAACAGAACAGAAACTAGTCATTATCTGACATTTCAAGTTCCCAACCAGTTATTCTTAATAATGTTTCAGGCATCTTCATTGGGCAATAGATACAGATAGCAGATGTAACAGTAGAAATCTAGAAAAGACCTTTCCCATGAGTTTAAAATTCAACAATAAAGCCAGTTCTTCAGATTCATCCGATTTAATCCCACAATTGTAAATGGATTTAAATCTAAACACAGTGACTGGATTAGTAAAACAGTAGCAGGTTGGCAGCACTATTCTTCAAGAAAAATATACTGACTAGGTTCAAATATCCATGTAACGTAAGTCATAAGCAAATATATATATATATATCATATTTTAACTTAGTTTAATGTAGTCCAATCTCTGCATGGAAAGAGACTGCATAAAAACAACGAACGAAAACTACATCCATTTCAACAATTCCACTAAAACTTACCCAAGGTAATTAAAAGTTAGAATCGCTAACACAGCATTATAAAGTTAAAACACTAAAATATATTTAAATTCTTAATATTAACACTATAGGCCGGTGATGCACAACCTCAACAGCTTTAAGACGCGTGGACTTCAACTCCCAGAATTCCCCACATGATTCAACTCCACAAACGAAGCCCTTCGGGCGTCACGCTCCCTATTTTTAAGTCATCAGCTTTCTTGAGACCAATAGGAAGAGACGGCACGCGGCGCACTCGTATGACGCCACAAGAAAGCGAGGAGCTCGCGCACTCATTGGGAAATCCGGTCCGGAGGGAAGATTCTAAACGGGGAGACGGCAGGAGAGTCCATCTGGGCAGGTGGAGGGAGGGGGGGAAGAATCTACCACGAAGTGAGAAGTGGACAATGGCTCAGCAGCATAGACGGTGAGGATGGGCATTGCAGCCGTCATGTATTTTTACTAAAGTGGCATTTGTATTATTTTTCATTATCTCTCCCCCCCCCCATCTTTATTTGGGTATTTTTAAAAGCCCATCGTGCTAAAAGGAAAGGAAGACCCAGTCACGTCTGCTCCAGGGCATAGAAGATGGAGGGTTTGGGGTGTTTTTTTAAAAAAAGGAGAAGAGAGGGCTGGCATTTGCAAAAAAATGCCAGCCACGGAGGAATAGATTAATTTAGATCAAGCGCTTTGAAAACCCTTGCAGATTGATGTTGCACCCTTAAAGGAATCTGGGATTCTGCCTCTGCAAAAGATGGCAAGCGTCCTTTTTGATTTAAAAAAAATTAACGAATTGTTTTTATCATTCTCAAATAAATTGGAATAATAAAAATAATATTTTTTAAAAAATTAATTGTTTTGTTATTCTAATAAATGGAGCCGTTTCTTTCCCTTCCTTTTTCAGCATCTATCTATCTATCTATCTATCTATCTATCTATCTATCTATCTATCTATCTATCTATCATATATAAGATAACAGGTAAAAGTAAAAACATAATTTGAATACATGAAAAGAGTAAGAGTAAAAAGAAATATTAGGACAGGGATGGAAGGCATGTTGGTGCGCTTATGCACGCATTGACTGAGATGTACAGATAGTCCTTGACTTTCGACCACAATTGAGCCCAAAATTTCTGTTGCTAAGTGAAACTTTAATTAAGTGAGTTTTGCTCCGTTTTACAACATTTCTTGCCATAGTTGTTAAGTGAATCACTGCAGTTGTTAAGTAAATCTGGTTTCCACATTGATTTTGCTTGTCAGAAGGACTCAAGGAGGTTGCATGATCTCGGGACATTGCAACCGTCATAAATACGAAACATTTGCCAAGTGTCTGAATTTTGATCATGTGACCATAGGGATCCTGCGATGGTCATAAATGTGAAAAAACGGTCATAAGTCACTTTTTGCAGTGCCATTGTAAGTTTGAATGGTCACTAAATGAACTGTTGTAAGTCGAGGGCTACCTGTATTCAAATTTGATTCCTAGGTAGGCTTCTGAGTTATTGAATCCCCGAGTGACAGAATGAAAAAAAAAAAAAATCCTGATGGCTTTTTATTGACTTGTAAATACGCTGGTAATACCTTTGACTTGAAGATTTTATAACAAACTGCCATTTCTGAACTGTTCCTTTGTTTACTATTGTTTAGCTTAATTGTATTTATTTTTATTTCTTTTAGAATAACGAAAAAAAGCAAAACAAAACACAAAGATAATTATGATAAAATAGCATACATTGTCAAAGAAAAGCTTTAAAAATGGAAAAATACAGCGAAGGAAAATGTATATCATTTTAACACTAAATAATTGCAATTCTATATATACTCATCTAAAGCTATTATTATTCAAGACATACATGTTTCTAATACATTTATATAAGTAGAATTTTTTAACTTAATGTATTTTGCATAAGTGAGTCCCATGTTTCATTATATTTATCTATACAAAATCCATATCTATAGGCAGTCTATCCATAGGGGGCAAGTACAATCAGGTCTACTTTGGTAATGAACATCTGCGAGAAAACAACCAAGCTCAGAGAGCACCAAGGACCCCCACAGTTCAACCCTGAGCTACAAATATTCTCATCCATTGAGTGAAAGGGGCCATACATTTATCTTTTCAATGCTGTGATATCAGTGTGATACTTTAGCATAAATAAAGGATAATGTTCTGTCTCAGACCTTTGGGTTCGCAGCATATCTAGCTTATTTAGTATCCTATGACTATCACTGAGTGTGCATTTTATGATTTATGATGATTGTATTTATGATTATGATCATGATTTACCACTTTTGCTATTAATATGCCACCTACATATTCCCGTGTTTAACATGTAAGTAAATGTTGGTTCATGACAAATTTAAAAAGAAAGCCCCTGTAAGCCCATGAGATAAATAGGAATAAAAATCAAATTCATATCTAATTTTCTTCGTGCAACACTTAAATGTAGCTAGCTTCTGCAATTTGAGGCATCATGAATCTTTGATAAATGCCTCCGTCTTATTTTGAAATCAGTCCATGAGACATTAATATTGCAGAATAATCCTAATTTGAAGGGGAATGTGGGGAATGCCTGACCCCAGAGGGATCAATAGTTTAAATCAATTGATTCATAGTAGTTATTTTAATAGAGTCTACATTCTGATATGATTTACCTTTAGCATCTCCTTGGCAGTGTATACAGTTAAGTAATGTGTATCAGTGTCAGGGCTACCTGGAATTTTATTATCTCTAAGAGATTCTTCAAAGTGAAACCAGCAATACAATATATGAAACTCAAAAATAGGATGAAGATTAGTGTTAGCAATATTAAATGTGGAATGAAGGCTTGATTATCCAAATGGAAAATCAGTGGGTCCATGTTTGTGCCATCTTGCTGAGAACTCTTTCTCAGTTATAGAATGACCCATTGATGAATGTATAGACTTAATGCTAACATATAGTTAATTATATGTTTATTATATTTGTAATTTCACACAACTTCTGATTTGGCCCAATAGACATGACTGGTTAAGTTCCGTGTTTCTTATAAAATAGATGACAAACTACTAAGCCTGGATATTTGGAGCTCCAAGTGGCTTAATGTCAGCCCTCAAAGTAGTCCACACCAGGAAATCAAAATCAAGAATTCTATTTTTATTGTAAAGTTAGAGTAACAGAATCTTGCAAGTCTGAAAGTGGATCTTCCCTTCCCTACCCTTATGTTCCACAGAAACATTACTACTTTGGATTCAGATTTCTTTTATCATGGTGTTCTCTAGGCCAGACGTCCCCAAACTCTGGACCGCAGCCCACTACCAGCCCACGGCCTGTTTGGAATTGGGCTGCACAAGTTGCGGGTGAATGTGTGCATGCACACAAAATTACTCTTGCGTGAATGGTGGCCACTTGTGCCTGTGCGCGAAGCTCCCCTCGCATGAGTGGTGGCTACTTGCACTCGCAGATGAAGCTCCCTCCATACGAGCGGTGTGCGTGCACGTCCGCCACTCGCAGGGAACTATCCCCTCTCCCCCAATAGGCCATCAAGCCAGAAAGGTTGAGGACCACTGACCTAGGCTCTGGTTCTTCCTTCTGTCTCCCAAGGTTCTTCTCATAACCCATTACTCTTAACAATCAGTGAAAATATTTACATTCAGCTAAGAAAAATGTGGCAAAGCTACTGGAATTTTATTTATTAAAAGTACAGATATAATAATTAGTGCGAATGCATTCCAAATAGAACACATGTCCAATCTGAAGAGAGGAGAGATATCTATTAAATCTGGCTGTTACTTTATGTATGAATAAATTGCCAAACAAATGTCCAAGCTAATTCAATAAACTGAGTCCATTACCCAGGACAAAATCTATTAAGAAATTCAGATTTTCTTCATTGCAGTTGAAGTTTGTAAACTCAACAAACGAATTTCTTATGTCTCTTCAAGCAAATATAAAACTCATGCCCATGATTTATTTAAGGCTAAATGTGCGCTCAGTTTACTAATTCCAACATTTGTTTATTTTTTTCTGGATTATACTTCATTAATCACTGACTTTATCTGAAAACAAACCCTGAGTTTATTTTAGCCATTTACTTTTGTCTTAATATAATAGGAAATCATGGTGTATGTATGCTATTGAATAGTGATGTTTTTCAAAATATTCTTCGAAACCAGGAACTTTCTAAGAAAGCAAATTTCCGTATTATGGCATATTAATAATTATAGAGTTGCATGCCTTCATGATTAAATATAAACTTGTGTCCATTGTTATAGATCTTGGTGTAAATACAAATGGTAGCTGCTTTTCAGAAATTTAAGGGGGAAACAAAGAAGATGACATCAAACCCTTCTGGACAAGGTAAAAGTTAATTCTTAAAATAATGTCTTATTTCTCTGTGGCTATTGCAGACAGGATGTTTTTTCCCTGAGGTTCTGTGTGGATTAACATTCAAACAAACAAACACTCAGCTTCATACCAAAACTATATATGTAGCATTAATATACAGGTAGTCCTTGATTTATAACAGTTATTTAATGATTTTTTGAAGTTACAATGGCCCTGAAAAAAATGACTTATGACCATTTTTCACAGTTATGACCGCTGCAGCATCCCCATGGTCACCTGATTTACATTTGGGCGCTTGACAACTGACTCACATTTATGACGGTTGCAATATCCTGTGGTCATGAGTGAATCTTTGGCCTGGAGTAGTGTGTGTGTATATATGTTTACATTTAATTTAATTTTTTCTTATTTGAACCAGAGATACAGTACATAACCTTTTGCAACCTTCTGACAAGCAAAGTCAATGGGGAAATCAGATTCACTTAACAACCATATTGCTAATTTAATAACTGCAGTGGTTCACTTAACAAATGTGGCAGGAAAAGTCATAAAATGGCAACACTCACTTAACAAATTTCTCATCAACATAAATTTTGGGCTCAATTGTGGTCATAAATTGAGAACAAGCTGTACTGTGATAGGAATGGACAATTAGTAGGAATTTCTTGGAGTCCCTTTCTTTGAGATCCCTAGGATCACTCCCGCTTAAATTACACCAAAAATTGATACATGATTTTAGTGATTTGATTTAGACTCCAGGCTGACTGAGTGGCTCACAACATAAACAAAACTGAATAAAAATACAATATAAAATAGAAAAGTTAGAGAACAAGATAGCAACTCTGGTCAAAACATCAAAACTCATACAGCCTTATTCAAGAAGGGGTCCCAACCACCTTAGTTAGGATCTGGGAGAACATCCAGGTCTCTGAAGCCCTTCAGAACAGCACCCTAACACAGGCATCGCCCAGTGGTGAAAATTTGTTACTACCGCTTAGTGGGGGGTAATGTGACTGGGTGGGCATGGCCAAATTTTTTTTTTTAACTTTTAAAACCATTTTTTTCTACCACCTCTTCAGCAAAGAGGTTGTAAAAATATGCTTTCAAAAGGTTCTGACGATCCCAGCTGAGTTGCCAGATCAGCAGAGGCTTTTTTCTTTTAAATGCCTCTGACGATCAGGCAACTCAGCTTGGATCTTCAGAGGCTCTTAAAAGCATTTTTTCTACAACCTCTGAAGAGGTTGTAGAAAAAATGTTTTCAGAAAAACATTTTTCTGGGAAAAAATGTTCCCAGCTGAGCCACACGATCAAAAAAAAAAAAAAAAAAAACTTTTAAAAAAAAGTTTTTTTAAAGCCTAAGGGTTAGAAAAATGCTTTTAAAAACTAAAAAAAAAAAAATCCTCTGATGATTGCGTGGCTCAGCTGGGCATGGGGGAGGCAGGGATTTTTGCTACCGGTTCTCCAAACCACCCACCTCCATTGCTACTGGATCGGGTGATCCGGTCCAAACCGAGAGCATTTCACCCCTGGCATCGCCATAAGGAAACCATACTCCTTGCATCCCAAAAGATGTCACTTTTAAATTGAAGGACCCAAACTGCACCGACTCATGTCAGTTCTTACTGACTAGGCATTACTGGCAATAAATGGTCTGTCAAATAACAGCCCTATGCCTTTGAGGTATGCCCAATACTGCCCTCATGTCTGCATTCTTGTCCATTTGAAGCTTCTATGTCAGGGGTGTCAAACTCAATTTCATTGAGGGCCGCATCAGGGTTGTGTTTGACCTTGGGGGGCTGGGGTGGGTATGGCCAGGGTGGGTGTGGCCAACTCAACATCACTTGTATTGGGGGCGTCTGTGGTGGCCCGAGCGTTCTGCCAGCAAAAATGGGCTCCTGAGTTCCGTTTTTGGCTGCAATGGCCTCCTGCAACCTTCTGCCAGTGAAAACGGAGCTTGGGAGGGCCGCACGCAGCCCTCTCAAGCTCTGTTTTCATTGGCAGAGGCACTGCGGGCTGGTCCTTTGCTGTTTTCAGGGCAGCCCCGCAGGCCAGATCTAAGCACCCCACAGGCCAGATCCAGTCCCCGGGTCTGGAGATTGACACCCCTGTTCTAAGTGGTCCTCAAGGGCAGCCTCATATATAGCATGTTGCAATAGTCAATATATGAGGTAAAGAGAGCATGAGTGACTGAAGGGCTAGTATACCAGATGGAGTTGTGCAAAAGCTTTCTGATTTTCTGAAATCGGAAAAAAGGAGCCTATTAAAAATAGACCTATTTTTTATTTTACCCTCTACCCAACTCCAGAAAAAATAATTATCTAAAACAAATTGTGAAAAACTAGTCTACACATTTGTATGACATCACCACCCTGCTTCACCCACCACCCCTAAATTATAAACTTTTACTTACTTATCCTATTTATCCAATTATCCTATATAAAGACAGTGCTCCTTCTTGCTCTGGTAAGAAAGTGTTATTTAATTTGATAAGAAAATCCTACAGTCCTAGAACTATTTTCGTACAAATTTTCTGAACATATGAATTGACTTTTACCTTTCACCTTCGCTGTTGTAAATTAGGTGAAGTTAATTTTCTTTATTATGCATTGAATATATTATATGTAGGGTTTTTTATTGGAATGATTTATAGGCAGTTTCTGCTGCAACAAAATTATGCAGCACATTTTTTTTCTAAATTTTTTTGTACAATGTCCTTTAAAATTGACTCATTAAGTTATCTGACCTTATTACAGAGCTTTCAAATTGGTCTTTATAAAGAGATAGTTCTCTTGGGGAAAGTTTTCAGACACAGTTTTATTTATCATTTAAATCACTGTTCCAAAGCCTTAAAAAACCAAAGGGCATCCATTAGTCTATAAGTATGGATTTCTCCAAAGACTCCCTATTCATAAATCATTCTGTATCACATGCTTCTCTCTATGCCACTGTCGTTGTTAAAGGCAAGTAAAATACTATAGTTTAATAATTCAAAAGAACTTTAATGAGTAAAATGAATTTTCTTTAATTATTACCGAACATTATGGGACAATATGTCCATAGAAAGTGAAAGATAATTGGCTTGTTGATTGCAATTCTAAAAAGCGCAATTAAACCATTATAAAAGGTATAGTCTCTCTCTAGGGTTGCATTGCTGAGAAACTCCATGCTCAGGTGTTCACAGCAGAGGGACATAATGTTGTAGTGCAGATACAATTCTGAAAATGATTCCTAAAAGCAACCAAACTCAAACTTCTTTTGTGTTTCGTTTTATTAAGAAGCTACCCTGATAATAAGACCTCCCCTGATAATAAGCCCAATTGAGCGCATGGCAATAAGGCCAAGCACTTATTTCAGGGTTCAGAAAAAAATATAAGACAGGGTCTTATTTTTGGGAAAACACTCCTTACTTTAATGGTATAAGTAAGGAGAGGAGAAAAGGGGTAACAGGTAGTCCTTGACTTACGACCAATCGCTTAAGGACCATTCGAAGTGACATTTGTCATGAGAACATAAAAAAAAAAGATATCTCAGCCCTAGGAAATGTAGAAATCCAAAGAAAGAGAAACTGAAAACTGTTACAGGCAGTTCTAAACTTACGACAGTTCATTCAGTGAACGTTCAAAGTTACAAAAGCACTGAAAAATGTGACTTACGACCATTTTTCACAGTTACGATCTCTGCGGTATCCCCATTGTCACATGATCAAAATTCAGGTGCTTGGCAAATGGTTCATATTTATGACGGTTGCAGTGTCCCAAAGTCACGTGATCACCTTTTGTTAACGTTCTGACAAGCAAAATCAATGGGGAAAGCCAGATTCAGTTAACAACTAAGTTACTATCTTAGCAAGTGCAGTGATTCACTTAACAACTCTGGCAAGAAAGGTGGTAAAATGGGGCAAAACTCACTTAACAAATGTCTCACTTGGCGACAGAAATTCTGGGTTCAATTCTGGTCATAAGTAGAGGACTACCTGTACTACTTAATTGGGTTAGATACAGGTAGTCCTCCACTTATGACCATTCATGTAACTACCGTTGAAGATTACTGTTAATGGTGCTGAAAAAAAGTGACTTATGATCCTACTTTCCACAGACAAACATCACAGCATCCCCAAAATCATGTGATCAAAATTTGGGCACTTGGTAACCTCCATGTATTTACGACATTTGCAGACTCTTGGGATCAGGTGATCATTTTTTGGGACCTTTCCAGGGGGCTTCTGACAAGCAAAGCCAATGAGGAAAGCTGGATTCATTTAATGACTGTGTGATTCCCTTAACGACCATGGCAAAAAAGGTGTAAAATCAGTCACAACTCACTTAAACGCATCGCTTAATGATGGATGTTCCGGTCTCAATTGTAGTCATAAATCAAGGACTGCCTGTAATAAATACAGGTAGTCCTCAACTTACAACAGTTCATTTAGTGACCGTTTAAAGTTACAATGGCACGGAAAAAAGTGACTTATGACCGTTTTTCACAGTTTCAACCTTTCCAGCATCCCCATGATCATGTGACCAAAATTCAAATGCATGGCAACCGGTTCGTACTTATGACCGTTGCTGTGTCCCAGGTTCATGTGATCACCTTTTGCGACGTTCTGACAAGCAAATTCAATGGGGAAGCAAGATTCATTTAACAACCAGGTTACTAACTTAATAATTGCAGTGATTCGCTTAACAAAAGCAGCCAGAAAAGTCATAAAATCGGACCAAACTCACTTAACAAATGTCTCACTTAGCAACATAAACTCTGGGCTCAATTTAGGACTATCAGTAAGTATCGTGGATGTTTGCTTTCAAGAGGAATATCTTCATTTTTCTTTCTGAAAGATCGCTTTGGAAAAGTTTTAAGACGGCGAAGTTTATTGAGAGGTTAAAAGATAGAACATACCATTTTGATATTTACATTCCTCTAATTTTTTCCCCAGGCTTTCAGAATAAAAACAGGGTTGCAATCTTGGCTGAGCTAGACAAGGAGAAGAGAAAACTTCTGATGCAAAACCAGTCTTCTACTAATCACCCTGGAGCCAAGTAGGTTATGCTCAAAATCTTGTCTCTGGACCACATGCTCATAGGTTCTGATCATAGTGGTAAATAGGGACAAGTAACCACACACACACATATATACCTGTTGTGGCCCTTCAGCTGCCTGTGCAGCTAGTAGCTGATTCCGACAGTGAGGAGGCTGGTGTGGTGCTGAACCAGCAGCCTGTGCAGCTGGCACTCAAGTCAGACAATGAGGAGGCTGGAGAAGATGTGGTGCCAGAGGCGGGCATTCAGCCAGGGTCTTCAGAACCTCCAGAAGCTCCCTTAAGTGAAGAGGACGAAGAGAAGGAGCCTCTTCTCAATGCACAGGCGCGCAGAGCTGCCAAAGGGCAGGAGTGGCTCCTCAGGAGGAGGTCTCCTCGAGAGTAAGACTTGGGGCTAATTGGCCACTCCCTTAGCCTATTTAAGGAGGAATGCCGACTGAAGCAATTTGCAGGGAACAACTTCATTCACATACCTTCCTGTCTTATCTTGCTTATCTTATCAGCTTCCTGCAAATTGCTTCTGAGCATTCTGCCAACCACCTTTCAGTTATTATTCTTTGAATTCTTGGCAGCTGTTAATGCAGTTAATTAACAGCCGTTGTTGTAAAAGACTGGTTTATTTAGTAAACTAAGGTTTGAACGGACTTTTGTGTGTGATGCGTTCTTTGGGGTCCGTAGCTGGGGCAGAACAATACCGCACTGTAACAATTGGAAGCAGACTGCTTCTTGCAAGCCTCTAAATGTATACTTGGCTTGTACAGGTAGTTCTCGACTTACAACAGTTCACTTAGTGACTGTTTGAAGTTACAATGGCACTGAAAAAAAGTGATTTATGACCATTGCAGCATCCCCATGGTCACCTGATTTACATTCGGATGCTTCACAACTGGCTCACATTGATGACAGTTGCAGTGTCCCGGGGTCATGCGATCACCTTTTGCAACCTTCTGAGAAACAAAGTCAATCAGGAAACCAGATTCACTTAACAACCAGGTTAATAATTCAATAACTACAGTGATTCACTTAACAAATATGGCAAGGATAGTCATAAATGGGACAAAACTCACTTAACCAATTTCTCATTTAGCAACATAAATTTTGGGCTCCATTGTGCTCAGAAGTTGAGGACCACCTGTATATTCCGATTCTCATCTTTTTCCTTTCCAACAGAGGAGGAAAGTATCTGAAACATTTTGAAATTTCAGTTTTTATATTTGAGTGCACACACACACACACACACACACACACACACGTGTATATATACACAAAGATATATACAAAATATATCTTTACAAAAGATCACCTCACAGAAGTGATCAGAAATAACCTATGCATTAAACTCTGTCCTAAATAATGATTAAGGTACATCTTGGATATGTTTTGTGGCAGAAAATTTGCATATAAAAGTCTTACATATATCTTTTCAAACCAAGATTGTAAAGTATGTCAAGTATTTTATATGCAAATTTTCCCCAGATTGAAAAGTAAGTAGGATCTACTTGGAAGTAGCTAGGGAACAGGAGTTGCTAGGGGCCTTGAAGTACATTAATGAGGTTCAGGTATTGTAACCGAATTTTGAAAGCCTGTCAATTCTCTCAGCTTTAACTTATACAAGTAGGCAATCATAATTGGGATCAGAATTTCTGTTGCTAAGCAAGATAGTTGTTAATGTTAGTCACACCCAATTTTTCTACCTTTTTTGTCATGGTTGTTTAAGTGAATCACATACCGTATTTTTCAGAGTATAAGACCCACCTTTTTCCCTTAAAAGGGGGTGAAAATTTAGGTGCATCTTATACACCGAATGTAGCCCCGCCCACCCACTGGCCCCCCACCCTTTGGCCTCTGCCTCCCAGCAGATACCTTCTTGCAAGCAAACAGCAACAAAAAACAGCTCCTTTCAGCTTCAGCACAGTCTTAATTAGCACAAGTTGATTGGATCGGCCTCCCAACTCAGCTGATTTGCTCTCAGCTGTTTTGCGCAGGGCTCTGCTGCTTGCTGCAAAGAGGTAAATTGCTGGAGCAGATTTTTTTTTCCTTGTGCAAATCAAGCTATGCTGAAAACGAAAATGAAAGTAAAGCAGGCTGTTTGCTGTTTGCTGCAACGAGGCAAAATTGCTCAGAGGCAGAGGGAGATTTCTTTTTCTTCTTTTCTTCACCAAAAAAGGTAGGTGCGTCTTATACTCCGGTGCATCTTATACTCCGAAAAATACGGTAGTCGTTTAGTGAATCCGGCTTCTTCCTTTGACTTTGCTTGTCAGAAGCCAGCTAAGAAAGTAGCAAATGGCAATCCCATAACCGCAGGACGCTTGCAAATCAGCTTTCATAAATATGTCCTGGTTGCCAGAGCACTCAAAATTTGATTATGTGAACTTTAGGGATGCTGCAACGATCATAAGTGTGAGATTCCATTGTAAATTTTTCAGTGCTGTTGTAACTTCAAACAGTCAATAAATGAATTGTTGTAAATAGAGGATTACCTGTACCTAACCCAATCAAGGAGGAGTTGTTTTCAGTTTCTGTCTTTCTACATTTGTAGAATTGAGATATCCTTTTTTCTTTTTTTTTAATGGCTCCACATTTTCCTGACATTACTTATACACCTGACAACATAAGTAAAAACTGAGGGTTTGGAGCACCAGTTTATCAAACTTTTATGAAGGAACCTCAATATTGTTAATCTAGGACTGTGATGGCGAACCTATGGCACACGTGCCACAGGTGGCACGTGGAGCCATATCTGTGGGCACGCGAGTGTTGCCCTAGCTCAGCTCCAGCACGCATGCGTGTGCCGGACAGCTGATTTATGGGCCTTTCAGGCCCACCAGAAGTTGGGAAACGGGCCATTTCTGGCCTGTAGGGGGTGGGGGGGTGGGGAAGGCTGTTTTTGCCCTCCCCAGTCTCCTAGAAAGCCTCTGGAGCCTGGGGAGGGCAAAAATCAGGCCTAGTGGGCCCACTGTGCCATTGCGTGCCAAAAGCGGGAGGAGCACAGGGCGGTCATGCGTGCATGCACAGAGGCGGGGCACATTGAATTATGGTGTGGGCACGCACGTGTTCAACCCTCCCATGCTCCCCCCCACTTTTGCCACGCTACGGCAAAAAGGTTAGCCATCACTGATCTAGGACCTGTCAGCAGTATGTTCTTTAGCTATATGGTGTCTGTTTTTGTCTAATGCTTTTCATAAGGACAAAATCCAAATTGGGAACTGTGTTCTTACAAAGTAGGAAAAAATGAAGCTGTTGTAAAACAGGTTTTTTTTTAAAAAAAAAATCTTCCTTTTTCTTGTGTAATGTGTTTAACGTCTCGATGAAACATGCTGCATTGGATTGGATTTCTGAACTTTGAATTTTGACCCAAATATATTCTGTTTCTCAGAGGACTAACTACAAAAGTAGCTCATAATTGAAAGATTTTTTATTTTTTTTTAAAAAAATCTTGGTTAACTATCCAGTTTTCAGAATAAGTGGAGCAGGGTTGTTAGTCTGCAATCTGGTTATTCTGTTAATTGTCCTTAGTGAACACAAGTACTTTGGGTTGTATTTGCCTTGTCTCAGGTTCCCATAGAGTTGGTGTAAGTAGTCTTTCTCTGGACCTTTTCCCATAAAAAAAAATAGTCTTCGATAAAAAATGGTACAGCCTTTCTTTGCTTACTCTCTGTGGTGTTGAACTTTATCATGATAATATTAAGTGGCTCAGAGGAGAAACAAAAAGCAACACTTAAATAGCTTGTTTTCCTTTTTGGCACATCTAACTAAAGTAAAACTAAAATTTAATAGGATTGTTACTATAGTCACATGTTTCTGCTCTGAAACATATCAACAAGATATGTTACAAAGAGGCCTTGCTGGGACCCTATCTCAAGGGGAAAATCTTTTCCTGTAGTTCTGCAGCCACTCTACCAAATATATGAATTCCCCAACATGAAGTCCATGGGCTGCTGGTTAATGCCGTTGTTTTATTCAGGTACTTTATTCAGGCAAGGCACTGGGTGGCACTGTGAGAAAGGAAAAACATGCAGCATAGGGGAGAGGAGAGGGTAGGATCTATTCTCCCACATGTCTTCTAGCTGACTTGTTTTTGATTTATAGCCAGACATGGTTCTTCTTTATGTTTGAGCTTGAATGCCATTAGCAGAGCAAGTCTTTCCAGAGCAGAACAGACCATCCCATTTGACTTTGTGGTTCTGAGCACGTTAGATTTCTCTTCAAATCTTCTCTTTTTAAAAAAGGAACATCCATGAAAGTTTTGACTCTGGGATACCTACCACAAACCTTTGCTTTGATCCTGTGCTCTTTCTCATCTCCATTGCCTTGGTGTGATGTGGCTCTTTTCCCCCTTCTGTTATTTACAGCATCTCTTTGGCCAGGTCCTCCCTTAACAAGGATTTTCGGGATCACGCTGAGCAGCAGCACATAGCAGCGCAGCAGAAAGCTGCTTTACAGGTATGTTCTCCTGGTCAATGCTGAGCTAAAGGCTTGCACAGTTTATAGAGGTCAGTGGTTTTGGTGGTGAAGGACAGAGAAAATTTAGGGGGGGAATATTCCTACATTTCTCTTAATGATAGTCTCTTCCATTGAGATTCTTCTTCCATTGGGAATTATTGGAGGCTGTCTAACAAGACCTGTAACCAAATTGGGATGTTAACCCCAATCTTCTGAGGTTCATATTCACTTTTCAGTCTTTTGCACCCAGCCGACCTTCACACATTTATTGCAATTCCTGTTTCAGTTTCTCTGAAATGATTGCGTGATCATCTTTTTAAAAATGGTATACCAGCATTTAATCTAAGTGCTGTGTCTGTACTTGGGCACAATGTCCTTGGCAATGCTCCAACCATAGAAATAATGCTCAGCTCAGGTGTGTGCACTTGCCTGTGCCCATCCAGAAGAAACAAAACAGGCCAAAACAGTTGTGGTAGAATCCACATGAGCTTAAGAATAAAATCACACTGTGCTCATCCTGTGCCTTGGAAAGTATGGGCTACATTCAATATTTCATGATGCATTTCTGATTGTGAATCAAAAATTCCCCTTCTCTCTCTCACAGTCCTGCTATGTGCACCATAGAACTGCAAAAAGTTAATCTTCCACAGCAGATTTCAGAGAGAAAGATAAGGGAAAATACACAAAAGAGAGAATCAGATTTTGCAACAATACATGTTGGAAAATGGGCACAATTGAATTATTTTTAGGAATAAAAATGAATGTTCCTCACAAAAGCTTAAAGCAGGCAAGTCCAATCCACGGGTGACAAGCCACATTGTGGACCTGGACAGGAAGTAATGTGAGCCCACAAGATAATAAAAAGATATAAGAAAGAAAGTTTGTTGTTTATATACATTAACTATATTATATATTTTATATGTAGCCCAAGAAAATGACTCTTCATTCAGTGTGGCCCAGGCAAACCAAAAGTTGGACAATCGTGACTTGGAAACTGCTTAAATACAAAATGAATGCTCTGATACGATTTTGGTGCTGAAATAAGAGGCGGGATTATGTCTGCTAATTCTGTGTCACGCTATTTTTTTTATTTTAGATGAGCACATGTGTATCTGCTGGAGAGCAGCTGGAATTCAAGCTACAGTATATTGGGAGCCTGTCTCAGTCCAAATGCTCCTAAAGAATTTCATTAGCAAGTAGACAAACGGCCTTTGAGGAAAATCCTTGTCAGATTTAAATGTCCAATTCTGACTTTTACTAGGCCTTGGCTGACTTTTATATCAAAATGATATAAAATTGTGTGTGAAAGCTTTTGGGCACTGAAGTTTATAGCTGAATCATTTTGAAACTGTTTAGTGGGCATCTTTAGCTGGGATGGCAATGGTGATGGGATTTGCTTTTATTTGCCTCGTGTATAATTTTCAAACAGGTGTATCTATTCCTTTTTCAGCACGCTCATGCACATTCTTCAGGATATTTTATAACACAAGACTCAGCCTTTGGGAATCTTATTCTTCCTGTATTACCACGGCTAGATGTAGAGTAAGAGAAAATTCATGAAACAGAAAATACCTGGATTCATCTAAGCTGCTTTTTCAACTTTCAGGCAATCATTTGTGAGAAGAAGAACTGAAAACTGTTCAAAACGGTTTTGATTTTGAATTCCTGGTATTTTGTTTTTGAGAGACAACATAAAATGTATTCTGGAAATTCCCTGCTTTTATTTTCCTATTACATATGTATTGGCATTTATAAAGAACTTGTTTTCATTTTCTAACACACATGAATAAGGCTTTAAATCAGAAAATTGAGGAGGGAGGGAAATACAGTGTCTCCGTAACAGAAAGATCTATAACTCTTACTACCCATTTGTTAAATCGATTATGCATACATTTTACTGGTGAGAATAGTTCTTAATACCATAAAGAGTAGAATGTTGGGGTTTACAAATTCAGTGAGAAATAACCATATGCATGGGACAAATGTATCAAATAAATTTAATATTTAACATAACTGGTTAGTTGAACTCTTTTCAAAGGCTTCCATCATAAAACAGAATCACCTGGAAAAATAAACAATCGCAACAGAAAGACAGGTGCAAAAAGAGTATACGATTCCCCAAACCAAGATGATTTCATTTCATGAGGTTTTGATACTGTGATCGCCAGGGACTTTCTAAAAGATTAAATTGAAAGTACATATTTTAAGACAAGATTCATCTAATTGTATGTAACTGGTGGTTGGCAGTGTTTCATTTGTGCGAGTCTCATAGCCAGAATCTGGCATTTTGTCTCCTTTCTTTTTCTTCCACGAAGGAAAACTTCATGCACAAACAAGATTGAGACTTCCAAGCGGACAGATGGTCTTAGCAGTTGGAGCAAATGCTACCTGCTGAATTCCTGCTTATCGTGTAGCTCTTAAGAAAAAAAACCGCACACTAAAGCATACACTGGAGATAAATGGCATCATTCTGGTGTAATTTTCTGTTTTATCATGAACGTTTGTTTGTTATACACAAAGTTAGGACTACATTTATCTTATCCAGCTTCTTGGCTTTTCAGCATCTCCTCTTCTGGATGTGCTGCCAGCAATGGACAACAGCGATCAGAAGTAGATTCATGGGAGACAAGGGACAGATGTGCTATTATTGAAGCGCCTTCTGTTTCCTCAGCTATAAGCGGAAACAACCGCTACCAAAAATGTTGATTAACAGGCACGCTCAAGTGAATGTGCGACCGTTCTTAGGCTAGTAGCATACATTTGTACACCAAGGATTCCTAAATGTTTTGCCATCACCTCTCCCTTTAGTGTAATCTTAATATACACACCTCCAAATCAACAAGGAAAACAATACAATGAAATGTTGGGAAAGGTGGGCTTATTGTAACAATGTAACTAGAAAGTTCTTCACACCTGCCTTGGAGTCTGCATCTCCCCAAGAAAGGTGCAATTTACAGTTTGGGAAACCCTGATGTACAAACTGGGTAGTTAATAATATCTCGGAAGCCTCACCAGTTTCACAGAATAAGCCAGCCAGACTAAGAATTTGACAGAATTTTATCATTCTTTGGCATGGGAATTTTGACGAAAGTCTCTTCCTAAGAAATCCCATTGTAATTTGTTGAGAGCATTTATACTTCCTGTTCTTGAGTTTTCTAATACCAAATATTTCAGTACTCTTGAGTAAGGACAGTCCCAATTATAATTTGTGATGTTTCCTTCCTCAAATTATTGCATGGTTCTTCTTGATGTTTCTTGCTAGTGCAGATGATGGAGAAAACTGCCTAAAGAGTGCCTAGATGTAGCCACCTAAACTCTCTCTGACTGAGGCAGCATACAGTTCAATGAATGAATGACTACACAGTATTAACAGTGGATATAAAAGGCCAAACACGCTTTTTAAAATGCCAGGTTTCAATAATAATCGTACTATTTGTAAAAGTGATCCAGTCAATGTTTATTACAAGTTAGTACATAAAGTGGATATAGAAAGTCTACACCTTTGTTAAAATGCCAGGTTTTTGAGATGTAAAAAAATCAGACCAAAATAAATCACTTCAGAATTGTTTCTACCTTTTTTCCAAAGTGTGTTTTTTTCTCCAGGGGGGGGATGCCTGTCAGCTTTGGAAGCCATATTAGGCTGGAAGCTTCCAAACTGCTATCTTTTCATGTGTGGGAAAGTAGCTGTACAATATAAGCTGTACAATTCAATGGAAAAACAAACTGAAATATTTAAGGTGGGAAAATTGCAGTAAAAATGCATATCCAGGCACAGAATTTTAGGTAGGAAACTGATGAGAAAATTTGCAGCTGAATGGATATTCCTTGGAATGCAAAATTACTAGAAGGCCAAATCTGTACTGTAAAAAGCACTGATACGTTAAAGGCAAAAAAATAACTCACTTTGGGTGAAAGGAAGTTCTTGGCTAGCTGGCAGCTCTTCTAGAATGTGACTTTCGCAGGAGAAATAATTCTTAAAGATTCATCACTTTTATCCGAGGAAGATGGGTGATTAAGAAATATGAAATATAATTAAATACAGGTAGCCCTTGACTTACACCCAACATTACTGTTGCTAAACGAGACAGTTGTTAAATGAGTTTTATCCCATTTTACAACATTCCTTGCCACGGTTGTTAATCACTGCAGTTGTTAGTAACATGGTTGTTAAGTGAATCTGGCTTCCCCATTGACTTTGCTTGTCAGAAGGTTGCAAAAGGTAATCACGTGACCCCAGGATACTGCAACCGTCATAAATATGAGTCAGTTGCCAAGCATCTGGATTTTGATCATGTGACCATGCTGGTGATGCAATGGTGTGAAAAGCAGTGCCGTTCTACCTTTGGTCACTAAATGAACTGTAAATCGAGGACTACCTGTAAACAAATTTAAATGCTCTTTTTTTCATTGAAAAGCCTTTTCAATGAAAAAAAAGTTCCCTCCATCTAAGATTGGCTGATCCCAGAGATCCACTTTGGTGACTGTAACCTGCTTATTGAATATTCTCTTCAACTATCTCTTTCATTTCCCCAGGCATTCTGCTCCTGAGTCTGTGAGCTGTTTTTAAATTATAAATGTTAAACCTTTATTCAGCTTTTAGTTTGCTCTGCTCCTCTTTTCCATTTTCTATTAATCTTTTAATCCCGCTCCTTCTGATAGTTGTCTTGCAAGTTTGGGTCTGGTGGCTCAGCAGACTGATAGCATTGTGATTAACACCAGCTGTCTGCAATTACTGTAAGTTCGAATCTCACCAGGCTCAAGGTTGACTCAGCCTCAGGGACTTCCGGTTTCCTTGTCTTCGGCGACGGCGGCGCTCTTTGAAGCTCCGCCAGCCCCGCCGCCTGTAGAGCCGCTTCGCGATCGAGAAGCGGCTCGAAAACTTCAAAATCCTGAGGATTGTTGGAGGAGAGATAGCAGGGCACAGGTCGAGCCCCTGTAACCCCCCAGGGAATTGTTTCTGGGGAGGAAACAGGCGCGGCTCCCTTCCAACCTGCTGAGACTCCGGGCGGCGTGGGACGATTCTGCTTCTGCAGAACAAGCCGGCTGCAGGAAACTTAAAGCGAAAGAACCAGCTTTAATAAACAGCGAAACTACCTGAATCCTGAAATTTGGAAACGCAAGTATTAGCACTTTGTTGACTTTTCAATCTGAGAAAATGCAAATGAGTGAAAGTGCTTTGAAAAAACATGGCGCCTAGCTTCAGAGTTAACGAGCCAGCGAGTGTGGATTGGTGAAGTTACTTTGTTTTGCTACAAAGTTTCCAAGTTGCTACTAAGCTGCCTTGCTTGTTATAAGAGAAATAACTGGGAAATTTTTTCCCTTTTCAATATTGGACTTTGCTTTATTTTAACCCTTGTTTGATCAAATCTGGGGGACTTTTTTAGAAGTCTTTGTGCAGGAGGGAAAGGAAAAGGAACCTCCCTCTTTAGAAAAACTAGATCACGAGCCAGGATGGCTTCAAAGAAGCAGGAAGGGAAGGCATTAGGGGGGGGATCCCCCACACACAAACAGCAAACGCAACTTCCCCCTGCTCAACAGTTACAAACTCAGAAAAAAGAATTTGATGTGGCAGATTTAAAAGAATTTATTTCTAAAACTTTGGATGATAAATTTCAAGAATCACAACAGGAACTTCAAAAATCACATCAGGAATTTTTGCAGGAAATTAATGAAATTAAAGACATGGTGAAACAGAATCAAATTATGGTGACCAAAAAAATATCAGAAGTGGCGTCTGGCCTGGCAGATTTTATTGGGAAAGTTGATTTTAAAGTTGAAGAATTTAAATCAGAAGTTAATGTTAGGATGAAAGACAATGATTATAAAATTGATGAAGTTGACAATAAAATGCAGAGAATTGAAGATGAGATTGTTATGATACAATTCCGGGCGATGGAATTTGCCATACGGCTTCGGGGAATTCGAGAGGAGGAAAGACAGGACTTGAGACAAGTTTGCTCTGAAGCCCTGGCTAAGATTCTACAAGTTAATCCTGATTTGGTATTTCATAAAATAGATAAAATTTACAGAGTGAACTCTTGGGTGGCCAGGCAAAGACAATTACCCAGAGATGTGGTCATATACTTTACTGAGAGAGAAATTAGAAATGATATCCTGCAAAAATCTTTCCACACCTCTATACAAGTGGGGGGCTCACGGCTTGTAATTTTTAAAGAGTTACCTCCTAAAATGCTGAAAACTAGAAAAGAATTTGGTTTTCTTGTTAAGGAATTGAAAAATTTACAGATACCCTTCCGGTGGGATGCACCAGCTGGGGTAATTTTCAGATATAAGGGAGAAGGATATCGGTTGAATACCGTGGAGAAGGCGCAACACTTTTACAGTACTATTCTTATGGAAAGAACACCATCTCCACGTACATCTACAGTTCTGGAGATTAAGGAGAGTGAAGAGAGGCAATTGAAAGAACAGTCTAAGCAGGAATTAGAAAACGTGCAAGGTGCAGAAGGAGGTATTCTGAGTGAGCCATCGCTGGATTCTTCTCCAATTTTGGATTTGATTCAGTTGACTGAAGTTAAAGATCAACGTATAACTAGAGCTCAATCCAAGCTATTTAAACAGAAGCAACAACAACAACAGGAAAGACAAGACAAGAAGGCAGTTAAGAGCACTGCACAAGAGATTGGCGCTATGGGAGGAGCGAGATCGAAGCTTGTGGATGAACTTCAAGCATATTGCTCCGCGCTCCATGAAGAGGCTAATGACCTTTAAGTGTTTATCTTGGAATGTCAATGGGTTGAATTCAGCACAGAAAAGGAAAAAATTATTTACATATTTGAAACAATTTAATAATGATATAATATGTTTACAAGAAACGCACATTACAACTCAAGATCAAAAATATTTGATAAACTCAAAACTAGGAGCACATTATATATCTTCAACTTCGCAGAAAAAGAATGGTGTGGTTATTTATGTAAATAAAAAATTAACAGCAAAAGTTATAGAAGTAGATCAAGATGGTAGATTTGTAGCAATTGAATTGTTTACAGCAAATGGTCAAATTCTTTTGATTGGAATTTATGCTCCCAACCAACAACAGGATTATTTTTACAAGATGTTACATACTAAAATATTGCAATGGGACTACAGATCTATTTTAATTATGGGAGATTGGAATGGAGTAATTGATTCTAAATTAGATAAAAAGAGCTTGGCAAAGTCTAGAATTAGATTACCACAGACCTTTTTTGATATGAAAGAAGATATGGAACTAAAAGATGTTTGGAGAATACATAACCCAAATGAATTGGATTACACTTTTTTTTCTGATAGACATAGATCTTTTTCTAGGATTGATTTTATCTTGTTGTCAAATGATCTACTTGTTAAGACAAAAAGAACAAAGATTTTTCCAAGAATTTTGACTGATCATAGTCCTGTATGGATAGAAATCGAGATGGATAAGGTTGAGAGACGTTCTTGGAGATTAAATGAGAACCTGTTTAGATATGAAAAAAATATAATAGAACTTAAAAAGCATTTGAAAGAATTTTTTGAAATAAATTTGAATAAAGGTACCCCAGTTGAAATTGTTTGGGATGCAAGTAAAGCTTATATGAGAGGGGTACTTATCTACATGAATTCTAAACATAGACTGTTCCGACAAAAGAAAAGATCTGAGTTGGAAATGGAAATAAAGAATAAAGAACAGTTACTTATTAAAAACCCAACAGATGAAAGAATACGAAGTGCTATAAAACTTTTGAAAGACCAATTCCAAATGCTTATGGCGGAACAAGTTGCAACAAGTTTACAATACGCGAAGCATAATACATTTTGCAATGCTAATAAACCGGGCAGATGGTTGGCTTACACATTGAGGAAAAAACAAAGTATACGGACTATTGATAGTATTGATATTGGAGGGAAAGAAATCTTTCAACAAAAACTAATTAAAGAAGCTTTTGTGGATTATTACACTAAACTATATGCCAAAGATGAGGTGCAGAATGGACTTATAGAAAAATATTTAAAGGATAAGAGAGTTACAAAAATTACTGATCAACAAAAGGAAAGAATGAATTATCCTATAACAGAGGAGGAGATAACAGCAGCAATTAAACAGCTAAAAACAGCCAAAGCTCCTGGCACGGATGGTTTGACTGCAGTGTATTATAAAACTTTACAAGCTGAAATGGTGGGACAACTTAGAGATTTATTTTGCAATATTCAACAAGGGGGTAAAATACCCCCATCCTGGACAACTGCTTATATATCTTTGATACCAAAAGAACAAGTTGGTCCTAAAAAACCAGAGAACTACAGACCAATATCTCTTTTGAATACAGACTATAAAATTTACGCGAAGGTATTAGCCAACAGGTTGATGCCAGTAATCCAAAAGGTGATTCATGAGGACCAAGCGGGATTTATTGAGGGTAGATACATGAAGGACAATGTAAGGCAAGTAATAGACTTATTGGAATATCTTGATAAGAATAAACAGATTTCTGCAGTGCTGGTCTTTTTGGATGCGGAGAAGGCCTTTGATAGAGTGGATTGGAATTTTCTACTAAAGACTTTAAAAAAGATGGGCTTTGGGGACCAG